AATAAAAATATTTAGGCATTGACGTTAATTTACAAAACAGGAGAACATACCCATATTTATCCCAAACTCATCAAATACTACATGGCAATTATGATTTATAGCAATAAGTTTTAGTGCTGGAGTCGACAAATCTAGACCGATATAAAGGTTTGCTTCATTTAAAAGGTTTGATATTTTTTATGACGAACATAAAAACCCAAACCAGAGACCTGCAAAAAATTTTCCAAAACCAAAAATTCTAGGATACATGTGATCTGGCCAATAAAAATTCATGGTAATTTGATACGTATATAAATTAAGCATAAGTCTTTCAAAGTCTTTCGACAAAAGAAAACTAAAACACAAGCGAATAAAAAAAGAGTTATCGCCATGCAATTTAGCACATGTGCATTATTATTTATTATTTTTTTGAAAAGGAATATGAATTACCGGTATATTATTTATATATATGTCGTGCATCAGATTCGAAGAGGCGTAGGATTAAAATTGGTTTGCGTCCGAATGAAATTTGATTCTGGGATACGTCAAACCAAGATTATCAGTTATGCGATGTGTATTATACTGTAATAAGTGTAATAATAATTAAAATCATAAAAACAAGTTAATTCGTATTCCGTGCCGAGTTAAACTGTAGAAATATTCATCCAACATGCGTAAACTTTTTAATGCCAAGATGTCAAATTTTGGCATCGAATAAGAAAGAAAAGCACTCATTAATCAAAAATTATAAGAATTAAAATTCATTTCATTATTTTGCGTTATAGATTAAATACTTGAAATTAGATAATATTTAAACAGTCAAAGAAGCAACGCTAAAAACAGAATTGTAGCATGCTTGTAATATCATTGTAAAATTTGTCGTTGGGGTAGAAATAAACGAATTATATGTATGTAATAACAGTATTTTATTACTTTGCAAAAATCTAACAATTTCGAGATGCATTTCGGTTTTCTGTGCCAGGTTATGTCGATCATGTGGCGTACCCATGTGCCACATCATGTGTAACATCAGATTGACCAATCAAAATTCGAGATCTTCGCGTATTAAATTCGTGAATGTTAAAAAACTTTTTTTAATAATTGTGTACGTACTTCTTTCATTTATATAAAGTTTCATTGTTGTAAAAAAATGAACACAAAACTATTAAAAACTTTCTTTTTTATGGGACCATATTATAAGTATTGGAATCGGGTTACACGGGTACTCAATGCCGGGGCTTCTTAGTGCAGGGATAGAGAATAATAGGATCGATGATCATAATAATAGATATTAGATAGTTTAAAGCTTATTTTAACAGATCGGTTACGCAATCTTGCATAATTAAAAAGTAAATAAATGGGGGTGATCGTTTCACGATCGAGCTTTTTTTATCTTGATTTCTTGAATTTTTCTTGAATTTTTCTTGAATAAAACTTGTGTACGGATAGGGGAAGTCAACAAACTTGTGTGTGGATAGGGGAAGTCAGCGATAAGGATAGGAGAGGTTAGGTGTATAAAAATAAACATCGTTTAAAAGAAAAACAAGCACTAAAAAAATATACGAACCTTGAGTAATATTATTTTATATGTGATCGCATATTATGTTGAATAAACTTCTTTGAATAAAAAATCGTTTAACTCAAAATCCATAATTTATAGCAAATTATGTGCAGCGAAGTTAGTGACAAGGTAGTCCTTGGATGTATAGAAAATATGGATCACACGGAAGAAAATATGGATCACATGGAAGAAAATATGGATCACACAGAAGAAAATATGGATTATATGCAAGAAACTTTGGATCACATGAAAGAAATGTAAAGATATTTAAATAGATATTACATGCACATATATACTTTAT